TTTAGGTCATTATGAATTACTCACTTATTTATGCACTGTGTGACCTAACATATGAGTCAACCACTATATTCTGCAAATACATGTATTAGGTATCAATTGCTGCTTAAGAGGTTACCCTAAAACTTAGCTGCTTAGAACAAAAAACATTTATTATCTCACACAGTTTCTGAGAGTCAGGAGTTCAAAAGCAGCTTATCTGGGTGGTTCTTGCTCAGGATTCTCAAGAGTCAAAGTGTCAGCCAGGGCTGCAGGATCCACTTCCAAGATGGCTCACTCACATGGTTGATAAGCTGGTGCTGGCTATTGGCGGGAGGGCCTGTGGCCCTCTCCAGAGAGCTGCTTAAGTGTCCTCACAACATGGCTGCTCCAAAAGAGACAGCAGTAGAAGCCAATATGCTTCTATGACCTAGTCTCAGAAGTCACACTCCATCAATTCCACCATATGCTAGTGGTTACACAGGTCAGCCCTATTTAACGTGGGAGGCAGCACACCACAGCATGAATACAAGGAGGGGAGAACCACTAGGGCCATCTTGCAGGCTGCTACCACAAGAGAGTAAGACCAGATCTTGGAGAACCTGTATCAAGGGACAAACAGCCACACAGTTTGCATCCTCCATCCAAGTGGATGTCAAGAGATCACGATCATGACTCTAACCACCCTCCCCTTATCTGATAAGTGGCTAAGAAAATAATTATAATACAATGTGATGATGCAGCCTGTGATACTAGTGGCAAGGACAAGCAGCTAAGGGAACCCAAAGGATTATTTCCACTGTCACAGCAAATCAGAGGTAACATTTGAGTTGGATACTGAACAGCAAGAAGAGACACTTAGAATACTGCTGAACTGAATCAAGATTTCTTTCTCAATAAACATGACAGAAAAACACTCTAGAGCAGCCCTTGTCAACCTGTGCTCTGTGAGAGAACTGACTCAATGCGCTAAGGCAGCTAATGTATGTAACGAATTAATTTCTCTCCTATGCATCTAGAAGGCATGGCTAGGCCCCACCCTTGAGAGAAGCAAAGATTCACTGAAATTTTTTCTATAGGGCTGAATTCTTTCACAAACCTCTAGTTGAGAAAGACTAAAAAATGAGCTGAAAAGACAGTTCACAGACATAAATAAAGCAAGACCCCAAATATTCCCACACACAATTCCTAAAATAAATGGAAGAAACGTAACTGTGTCTAAGAAGGTACTGCACAGCTATACCAGAGAAGCTAGGAGAGAGAAGATATTGACCCAAAAGGTTAACAGAGACCTGGCCACACCCAACCCATCATGGCCCAGAGCAGAGCTGCTATCTCAGGCAATTACTAGGAGGATGAAATTAGCCATCACTCCAATAACACGAAGCAAGACTAGTCAAGGGAGGAAGGGAGAAAGCGATTAGGGAAGATAGCAGCCCTCCAATTTGCATCCTCCTTCCAAGAAAATGTTAAGAGATCAAAAGCATATAATTCTAAGCAACTCCTTCCACCCTTATTTGTTTAAATTACAATTTACAGGTTCACTGTGATCTGAAGTTTTAGTGTGTGTACACACACACACACACCTACCCACAAACACTGGTGTGTTCCTATGAGCCACCATGGTTCACAAAGGGGATGGGAATGCCTCAGTCCCACATCAGGAGCATGGCTGCTGCAAACGCAAACAGGAAAGGCTTGTTTATGTCCACGTGGGAGAGTACACCCGGGGGCTGAAACTTGCGTGCTCTTGAGACAACGCAGCTTTTGAGGTGGGGGCAGGGGGGAATCCCTAAAGCCAAAACCACAAAGCCAACTTCTGTTCAGCAAGACTGCTATTATTCATCCTGTGAAAGACCAAAGAATAAAAAAATGTACTAAGCCACACCTTGAAAAGTCATGACAGAATGGCATGCCCCAGCTTGACGGAAGCATTACAAAACAGATCCTGAATCACGTGTGCTAATCTCAATCACCCCACCTCAGGGCTGAGCACTTCCTGTATTCCTCCAGCAGCGACCTCTTAAAATCCCACTTTCTCTAATAAAACCTGCCTAAAACCTCATAAACCACACACTTGAAATAAACATACATTCATTCCTAAGCTGACCTCTTGGTGTATATGTGTCTTAATGTATTTGTCCCTACTACTCTTTCCATTTTTGATTTTAAGTCCTGGAAGACAGAGACAGTGATTCTTCCAGACTCTAACCACAAGCCTCAGGAGGTTGCAATAAGCCCTATTTACTGCTGACACTAATTAGCTTTGAAGAGAAATTCATGGAAGGCCATGTTTTTAAATGGGAGCCTTTCTGAAAAGTCACAATACATGTTAAGATCAATACATGCATATTCAATATTAATATGTACAGAGAGCCCCAAAAGCACCACCATGCCTGTCTATAACCAGAAAAAAAGAAGGAAACATTACTAGAAGTCTCTGAGATTGTTGTTAAACACGAAATCCATTCCCTAAAGTTCATATTTAGCATAATCCCAGACTGCCATCAACCCGTGCTGGACCCCAATATACACCTAGAGCATCATTTCCTGCAATCCTGATTTCAAGCATCTTCATATTCTATGTGGGACTCTTGTTTTTCTTTGCTTTTAGACAAAAGCAGTACCTCACTATAAAACTATTTCAAAGTTGCCAAGACACTGAAGTTGTAGGAATCTCTTCTACAGAGCAGGACAGAGTGACATACCCATATCCACCTACAAGTCAGTGACGGAGCCAGGACTGAACTCCCAGCTCCCCGACGCCCAGACTTGTGTTCTTTCCACTACGCCACACAGACCCTGAGGGCTAAATACACACACTTTAATACACGAAAATCCCTTAGAGTATATGTGAACCCATCAATTACAAAAGTCGATAACCCCAAGTATTGACCTTATTTCTAATGGATGTCACTGGGCTTGGTTTACACCAATGTCACCTCCTCCAAAACAAATTAATATTTAAGGAGCAAAGCCACACAAACAGTATTATAGCTTGAGAAAGAAAGACCCTCGAGGCTCCTCAAAAACCAACACTTCATCCAGCTACAGTAATTTTCAAAACAACTTATTCTATCCTAATTCCTATACGGCTGGTTAGAGAACAAAATATTAAAATCTATTTACTAAGTGTAGGCCACTTAATGCAAGTGAAAACCAAACCATAAGATCCACTTAGCTTAGGAACTGCATATAGGTCTCCCTTAAAAGGCATAAATGGAACTCAAAGTTCCCCATGGTTTTTAAAAGCAAAGATGGACTCAGAGCCTTTCGTGGATATGGAATTCAAAGAGAACTGTCTGAACTCAGAGGAAGATTAGCCATTCAAAAGTTTATTTGGGGCTTCTTAATTGGCTTATTCCATTTCTTTGAAGCAAAAAATGTCTTAAATTTATCCCTCAGTCTATAAAAGGGGGAATAAAAACTCTTAACTCCAAAACAGGTCATGGTGCTCCAGTGCCTGATCTCGGGGGACAGGCTGAAGCGTCTTCTCAGCTGGCCGCCATAAAACCTACCACTAACAAGTCAGTTTCCAAATGCTCCATGTTCCTGATAACAAACTAAAAGCTGTGGAGACCAAATGCAACTGGCATTGAATTCAAACTCCCACTCCAAAATCAGGTAAGTACAGTGATAACAGTGTACTGCATTATTTGCCACTAAACAGCAATTTTCTCCACAGAAATAAAAGTATACAAGTAAAATCAAGTTTCAATTTAAGGAAAAGATTCTCCTTTATAATATGATCAACAACTTTGCCAATAAGAAAGTACATTTGAAAACACATATCAAATTTGCTCCCTAAAGGCATCCATCTCCTATTTTGGTAGTGAGATGGTCCTACTGTATAATATCACATCGATCCAGCCACTAAAGCAAAAGTCAGATGTTAAAATAAAGCAAGTCAGTCATGTGCAACTGAGAAAAAGAAAAGTACAAGAGAACTGGAAGTTTTCCCAGTGAGAGTTTTCCTAAGAAAAAAACACCAAAATATAATGGGAAATGATACTTCGACAGAAATTCACTTTATTATAACTACTTCAGAATCACATGGTCCCCTATGATGAGATGTACCCCTCATATGCATGGCTTAGACTCAGGGAGACCCACTGTTCTCAGCAGAGCAGAAAGAGCTGTACCGTGACCCAACATCTGCATCCTCACCAGCACCGAGCCCTTATCATGCGAGCTCAGGACTCACGACACTTATTTTCCTCCTAAAAGCTAACTAGAGAACGACTCTTTCCAGGCTCTCTTCACAGCATCCCCCCACCCATTATCTGCAATTCTGAAATCTCCTGTTAAAACAAGTACAGAGTTTCATCCATAATATTCAAGAACAGTCAGAAAATCGCAAATCTCCTATCTTCTCCCCCATACTGGAAAGGGCTCCTGGAAGGATCAAGTCAGGAGAAGGGAGGAATGGGAAGCCCACTGAAGGTGAACGTCACACAGAACCACCGTCAGTAAAGATCTTTCACTTCTACCACTTGTTAATACTGTTTAGAACCTACGCCAAAACTTACTATTATCCAGACTTGAAATCTGCATTGTTTTTGGAACATTTTCTTGAGCTTTCCCATTTACCACTCAAAAAACCAAAAAGTCTCAGTCCTCATGACTTCACAAAAAAACAGATGATCTTACAAATTTATGCCCATTTAAAAACATGTTTTTAAAACTGTACTTTTCGGAAAAACTTTTGTGAAAATTGGATGATTACTAACCAAATCATAAAATTCCTGTGCCTGCCCATTCTCACGGCATCATTATAATAATCTTTTCATCCATAGAGGGCACGCCCAGAGCAGAGTTCACCATTCTGTTTAATGATTCTCTGTTAAAGAAAACCTGATGTGGTTTCTAAGGCGTGTGGAACTTAACCTCAATTACATCCGAGTCGAATGGTCTCAGCAATCACACAATTCTTAGTGAACTATCAATCTCCAAAATCAATCTACTACGGAATAAATAGAGATCACCAGAGGGTGTCTAACAGAATGGAAAGCCAGATTACTTACCTTGTGCAAAGGGAGCACAAGGAAGGCTCCTCCCCCACTTGCTTCTATGATTATGGCAACGAATCTGGGATTGACAGCACAAAAGGAACTATCCCAGGTCACACGAGAAACCCGGATGTCATCATAACACTGGTCATTTTTCACCGCTTGTCCAAATACATGCCGAAACTTGCTCTGTCGTACCACTCGCCTCATTGTGTCTGTAGAAGGGCAAAAATTATGTTAAAATTATGCACCAGACTGAAAACTTTACTTGTACAAATGAAAAGCTCCAACTAGAAAAAAAAACAGAATGATATGGCATTTTGTGTTCTCCTAAAAGGTAGCCAAATGGCAAATCCAAATTTCCTCTTGCAGCACATACCCAGAGAAAACTGCAAAATGCGTCAGGGAAAGAATTACAAAGAAATGAAAAATTCCTAATTCAAGATCCAGAAACAGCTCAAGAGTTTTAATTTCAGGAGAAAGATCAAGCAAAAAATGAAGGAAAATTAGCCTTTCAGGCTTGAGAGGGAACTGAAAGATAATTCACTCCAACCCTCCCCTTTCAAAGACAAGAAAAACCAAGTGAAGCGGCAGATCTGAAGCTGAAGAACACCCCAAGAAAGCCACGATGCTGTGCCTTTTCCCCAGTCTGCCAAGGTAAGTTTTCAGTTTTTAAGCATTTTCCCTAGACATCGGCACTCTGCTGTCTGAGAACTGTGCCTGCTCACGAGTGTTTCCACAAGACCAACTACACGTAGTGGAGAAGTCAAGAGACATGAGCCACCAGCCTTGCCTTCAACAGCCTTCCAACACAGGCCTAACAACCAGAGCAACTCAGAACGCAACTCCTGGGGCTGAGCTGAGTGCTACCACAGTCTAAGGCAGCCGATGCGTCAAAAGCCAGGTCAAAAGCCAGGTCGTGGAAAAGAGCAGCAAGGATTTAAATGCAAAGTAATGTGATAAAAGTGATGTTTAGGATGACAAGAGGTCAGGCAGAGGCATACCGGACATATTAGAGAGGTGAAGCTAAAAGCAAGGTGCTGGGCTAAGAAGCTGTGACAGTAAACCAGGCCTGAGAAAGGTCTGGAACGATTATGGCAGTAGCAGTTGGACAGAGGAAAGGAAAAACTCAGGGAGGGGAAACAAAACGACGATGAGTTCTCACGTCAGAGCTGATCATTCACCACAGCCACTTCCCAATAAACCAGGGGGTCTGGGAGAGGGGAAGTGACACTGAGCTGGTGTTGCTGGGCTTCCTCAGGGGTCATTTCTGCCTCCAAATTCCACTAGGTCGTCCGACAGACATATGCACCGAAAAGCTTCATGCTTCAGAATCACCAGGCCCCACCTGACCGAAGTTTCCTAGACTGCACCCAATGTAGTTACCCTATCTGCCAACGCAGGACATTCTGCTCATACTGGCTGGGATAGGAGCCCAGAGCAAACATACGCAGAAATGGAACATGGTCAAACCTTGACAACTCAGCTGAAAGCGGTACTCCTGATCGCCATTGTACAGAGGAGGGCTAACACCTGTCCACTCGTGCCAAATGCAACACATGGTGGGCTGTTGCTAATTCCTTCCTTCTAATTCCCTTCCTCATGGCTCTGGGCCCACCGCTAAATGCAGAGGGAGAGAATTTATTTTTGCCAGAGCCTCCTTCTACCCTTCCAAGGCATGTGCAAAAGTGGCCTCTCTCCAAGCCTGGGGCATGTGGCTGGACGGAGGCAACAAATCCTTGGCAGGCAGATGAGCACCCATGTTCCTCAGAACAGCTGTTGCCAGACCTTTCCAACTGACTACCAGGACCATACATTTAGAATACTTGGTAGAGAAGATGGCAAATGATTCGCTTCCACTTGGCCAAGGTTCTTCATTTGTGAAACAGTATGAAGACTTCTCAAGCATGACTAGATAAGACAGCTTCCATGAGGTAGTGAAAACCATAAGAAAAGCACATCCATACAAAAGCCAACGTACAGCCGGCTGGTCTCAGGATCCATTTCCCTACACAACCATCTGCCCGAGTCAGCAAAAGCTGGAATCCCCACCAGTACCTCCCAGCAAGTGTTTCAAAAGTGAGTTAACATACAAGAAGAAACATTTGCACTGTATGTCAAAGAGTTAACATCCTTTATATGTAAAATTTTTACAAATTCAAAATATGAAAATCCCAATAGAAAATTACATAAAGGACATGATGAGGTAATTCACCGAAGAAATACAAATGGCATTTATCTCCACTCCTTCCTGAAATCCTAATAAAATGACAGTAGAGGAATAAAAACAGGTATAAACACCAAAGGACACAAGAAAGGACACGGGAGCCTACAAGAGAGCAAATATGACGCAAAATCTTAGAAGACAGAAAGCTATGACGCACGTAAAGCGTGAGTGTTCTCCACTCAGCTGACTGTCTCAGGACAGGCTCACAAAAGGATGCCCAGGCCCACTGTGATGCCCTAGAGCCTTCAGAAGACAAATTGCATGTCTCCACAGACAGGGACGTGGGAGAGGGGCTGCGGAGAACACTGACTGAAAGCCTAAATGAGGGGCAGCTGGACACCCAGAGCCCCTCTACCGGTGCTGCACAATCGGGGACTGCCCCACACCCGCCCCAGCAGAAGCCAGACCGGACAGGACGACACCCGGCACAGAGAAACACAAGTATGAGCAGGTGCCACACCGACAATCTGGTTCTGTACAGTGGAGCCTCCAGCCCCTTGGACCTGGAACTCCCAGAACACTGGCTGCCAGGCCTAGATACCACCTGTCCTACCCTGCAGATCAGACCTCACGGCCCTCTGTGAGGACCCGCACTCAGCCAGCCCCTCCACCCACACAGGTATCAGGTCAGGTCAGCCTTCTGTGCCTCACTTTTACATGTGACTGGACATCTGAAGGCCTCTAACTTGAAAAACAGAGAATTCTTCCTCTTCAATCAAATAGGCTAGATACCATCTAATCTCACCAACAAAATGAATATTAATATAAATATGTAAAGTGTTTTGAATGTCTTCATTGAAAGATATTACACAAAACAGCTGGCTAAGTTACATACTAAACTACCTTTAAAAGTCATTTCTGTATTATACATAGTGACAGCTTATGTTCTTTCTAACTTCATGGAGTCAGAATGATCTACAGGCTGTTTTGCCACAACCGTGGAGTAGAGCGTTAGCTACAGAGCAGAGAGAGTGAGAAAAGCCGGGGCTTCCACAGCGCTGTGCTGACTGAGCCAGGCATGTCCAAGCAGAGCCTGAAGGGCAGTGTGAGCCCACTCACATCCAAGGTCGAACCTGATCTGGGCTCAGCGGTCCACACGTGGCATGGCTGCTTTCGCTGCACACAACACAGAAAAGCAATTAAGAGGGCAGGCTAAAGGGGCCGACCCCGTGGTGTAGTAGTTATGTGCACACGCTCCGCTGCTGGCAGCCGGGGTTCGGATCCCGGGTGTGCACCGAGGCACTGCTTGTCAGGTCATGCTGTGGCGGCCTCCCATATAAAGTGGAGGAAGATACGCACAGATGTTAGCCCAGGGCCAGTCTTCCTCAGCAAAAGAAGAGGAGTCTTGGCAATGGATGTTAGCTCAGGGCTAATCTTCCTCACAAAAAAAAAAAAAAAAAAAGAGGGCAGGCTCCAGAGTCAGACAGCCTCGTGAGTGAAAAACACAGCTGGACCATTCACTTCCTGCCATGGCTCAATAAGGCAAGTCACTGAATCTCCAGAAGTGTCAGATTCTCTACCTGAAAATGGATACAATACACATAAAGTTGAAGTGATCATTAAATGAGCACTCGGTGATGGGATTGTGGCAGGAGATAAATACGTTAAAGCACCTTGTATGGTGAGAGACATAATTAATTACGTAATAAATGTCAGCTACTGTTATCATCCTAGTACTTGACATAAAGTAATCTGGATTCAATTCCCAGCTCTGTCACTTATTAGCAAATTACTTAATCTTTCTGAGCCTTAGTTTCCTCATTTTTAAAATGAAGAGAATGATACCTATAATAAGAATTAAAAACATCTGACAAAGCCCAGCTCCAGAAGATTTCACCGCTGAAGTCTATCAAACATTTAACAAATTAATATCGATTCTTTACAAATTCTTCCAAAGAACACAAGAGGAGAGAACACTTCCAAACTAATTTTGTGAGGCCAGTATTACTCTGATACAAAAATCAGACAAAGACATCACAAGAAAAGTAGACCAATATCTCTTATGAATATAGACACAAAAATCCTCAACAAAATACTAGTAGACCAAATCAAGCAATATATAAAAAGGACTATACACCATGACCAAGTGGGACTTATCCCAGGAATACAAGGTTGGTTCAACATCTGAAAGTCAATTAATGTAACATATATCAATCGAATAAAGAACAAAAATCACATGATCATCTCACACAGAAAAAACATTTGACAAAATCCAACCCTCACGATAAAAACACTCAAAAAACTAAGAGTAGAAGAGAACTGCCTCAAACTGTTTTAAAAAAAAAAACGCACAGATCATTCAACAGTGAAAGATGCTTTCTCCTTAAGATCGGGAACTAGACAAGAACGTCCACTCTTGCCACTTCTATGCAGCAATGTACCACAGGTTCAAGCCAGGACAATTAGGTAAGAAAAAGAAATAAAAGGCATTCAAATTGGAAAGGAAGAAGTAAAACTATCTCTGAACACAGATGACATGATCTTACTAGTATAGCAAGTCCTAAGGAATCCACTAAACGACTTAGAACTAATGAACAAGTTCAGCAAGGTTGCAGGATAAGAGATCAATATGCAAGAATCAACTGTACTTCTGTACACTCATAAAAATGTGAAAATGAAATTAAGAAAACAATTCCATTCACAGTATTATCAAAAAGAATAAAATACTTAGGAATAAACCTAACCAAGAAGGTGAAAGACTTGTATAATGAAAACTACAAAACATTGCTGAAAGAAATTAAAGACACAATTAAATGGAAAGACATCCAATGTTCATGGATCATAAGACTTAACATTAAGATGGCAATATAATCCCTATCAGAGTCCCACCTGACTTCTTCTTAGAAATGGACAAACTGATTCTAAAACTCATGTGGAATCGCAAGAGACTCAAAATAGCCAAAACAACCTTGAAAAAGAAGAACAAATTAGGAAGATGCATACTTAGTTCAAAGCAATGGAAATCAAGACAGTGAGGTATTAGAACAA